GAATGATAGATTCTCCTCTATAGGAGACAGAATATATCACATTTGGAAATGTGATGGGTAAGAGACTTAATGTCTTTTTATCTTTACAAAGCTGAGAGAAAACCTCCATACAACCTGTTGCATTTTTCATAAAATTTACTTGCCAGGAGCAAATTGAGACATTGACTTTAATAGCAAGTTTGAAGAGATCCTATGCTTTTCTTCACAGCTTAACCTCATTGATGCATCTCATTCTAAATATATATTATCATCAAGGATGAGGCGTATATTTGCATGTGTTACTGTTCTTTTGTGTCATCCTAATGTCATATAAAATAAAACAATGGATATTAGGTCTGGCACTACCCAGGTGGAAGAGTCACATTCAAAATTTCTGCTGAATATTCATAATAGTATTGTCAAAGCAGATTTCCATGTGAATCAGGCATCAAAACAATTTACAGCCAAAAGGTCCAGTTTTTAGTCTGTCTGCTAAACCTTATGGCTGCAGGGCAATGAGGATAGAGCAGAATGTCTGTAATGAGACAACTACAGTGAGGTTGGGATAATAATTCATTGTATCATTGTGTGATTTGACTGTGATGATGCCATGAAAAAGCTTAGCACTGTTCCTGGGTGACAAGAGCGAGACTCTGTCTCAAAAAAAGAGAAGAAAAAAAGCCAAGCTGTGCCCTGATCACCTTGGGTACATGTCATCAGGACCTCCTGAGGCTGCGTTATGGGCACACATCCTCAACCCTGGCAAAATAAACTTTCTAAATTAACTGATACCTGTCTCAGATATTTGGGGTTCTTATTTGGGTGACCACAAAGGGATTCTGCATGGAGGTGCCCCTGACCTTTGAGAAATCTCCTATTGGTGCTTGGTACCAGCTTGAGCTATCTTTATGGCTCAAACCAACAGAAGAATGTGCTGAGACCTGGAAGCACCCCTCCAGAGAATCCTTGATCTCCTAAAATTTGGTTGAGATCTAAAGTTTATTTTGCCATACAACTAATTGTTTTGGAGTTTTACTTGCTTCCAACACAAGAAAGGCAAGTTTTTTCTGCTTCCATGACAATGGAAGGCAGGTAACTCCTTTATGGAGTTTGAACTCACTTCCAACAGGTAAGATGAATTTGAGATTTTCCTGCTTCTAGGTTAGTAGAGAGCAATTTTAGCCTGAGACCTGTCCCTAGGTAAGTAACTGAATTGGGATTTTTCTTGGCCAAAGTGAAGATGAACAACCAGCTGGACTTAATTTCTCCTCACCATCAGAGCATTCAGTAACTGTATAAGTTGTGCCATCATTTGTTTTACTTAACTATTTTTTTTGTTGTTGTTTGGGTCTTTTCCCCATTGGGTTTGATTAACTCTATCTGATTTGATCAAATCTGAAGGAAAGTTCCAAATTATGGGGAACAAGACCTCTGAAGTGGCTAAATTCCCACAAAAAAAAAAAAGAAAAAAGAAAAAAAAGGTGTTGTGGTGTGGGGAGACAAATGGCCAGCAAAAGAAAAAAAAGAATTTTTTTTAAATTTTTGAATACTTAAGGGGCTTTTTATTACATAACAAGGCCACCTTTTTGCTAGCCAAGCCAAACTGAAAGAGCAATTGCTATTGCCCCATTTTGCATTTCCATAGCTAAGCCTTCTTTTTTTCCACCATGACAGCCTGGATTTGGTTCCTAAATCAAACCCTTTCTGGTTTGATACTTGATACTTCTGAAATAGCACCAATTTGTTCTAGCTGAAACATGGTAATGAGAATTCAAAAGATTTTTTTAAAGGAGTTCAATGGTTAAAAGTCAGCTTAATTAAAAGCTAACATCCAAGATGCATGTGTGTATATGTGCATGTGTGTGTATTTAAAAGGTCTTCATTTTGTTGTTGTTATCATCTTTGTTTCAAAGCCAAGCTATAAAGTAAGTTCCTCCAAAAGTCCAGGAATGAACAAGGACAGCTTGGAGGTTAAAAGCAAGATGGAGTCAGTTAGGTCATATCTTTTTCACTGTCTCAGTTAGAATTTTGCAATGGTGAATTTTGTAACTGTAAATTATGACTATTGCAGTTTTCATAAACAACCTAGATAAATGAGTAAAACAGGTAAATGTAATGGGATAAACACATGTAGACAAACTCATCATAATTTAGAATCTAAAGTTAAATTAAATAATAGATATTTTATTATTTTGGTATTTTCCAACCAAAATATACTGTAGGAAAACATTCTTTCTAAAAAGAAAATGTGTCCTTTTTAAAAAGGTGAATAATTTTTGTGTATTTCAAAGCTTATATGAACGGTATGTATAAAACAAGGTTAAAGGGAACCAGGAAATAAAAGAGATGTAAAGAAAGTTGTAGAAATAAAGAGGTATTTTTTGGTAAGAAAGCTTAAAGAAAAATAATTTTATATGAGAAAGAATCTTATATGGTAAATTTAGTCCTAGAATAAAATGACTGGTTGTTTAAGAAAGACGGATGTTCAGGACAAACCAGAAACTCCAAGTATATCATGAATGGTTTGTGTAAGTCATAGAGTGCTTATAAAAAAACAGAAAACTTTTACATGATCATGTTGTCTATAATTAAAAGAAAATTACAGTGCTCTTTCTAGAGATTAGTTTTGATGTAAAAAACACTTTTACATGAAAGAAATAATTAGAAAAGTGAAATTTTCTGAAGGGATTGATTTACTCTTAGTAAATTATAAGATACTGTAATTTTTTTAAAACCAAAGTTCAACTTTTATTGCATCTCGTGGTTTTCAGTTTCTCTTCCCTTTTAAGAGGCACAAAATATTAATATTAATGCTCTCCTTCAATTCATTTTCAGCTTATGTAAGTTTTTTTTCCCCTCAAGTTCCATTTGTTGTGCCCTGATGTTAACAATGGTTTCTTAAGGGTGTAAAGGAAATGTTTTCTTCCAACATAATATCCTGTGGACTGCAGAAGGTCTTTCCTTTTGCTTTTTGGTAACTGGTCTGACAGATTTTACATTTTATCGAAATAATTCCTATGCCATTTTTATTAAGTATAGTTTCCTTAGGAAAAAAAAAACTGAGTTAAGGCCAGGTGCGGTGACTCATGCCTGTAATCCCAGCACTTTGTGAGGCCGAGGTGGGAGGATCACCTGAGGTCAGGAGTTTGCAACCAACCTGGTCAACATGGCGAAACCCCATCTCTACTAAAAATACAAAAATTAGCCAGGCATGGTGGCACACACCTGTAATCCCAGCTACTCCAGAGGCTGAGGCAGGAGAATTGGTTGAACCTGGGAGGTGGAGGTTGCAGTGAGTTGAGACTGTGCCCATTGTATTCCAGTCTGGGTGACAGAGTGAGACTCTGTCTCAAAAAGGAAAAAAAAAAAAAAAAAAAGAGAGAAAAAAGAGAAAAAAAAAAAAACTGCGTAAAAAAAAAAATTTAAATTAAGGTTATTACATCTGTGGATCTTTCTGTATGTGCTTTTAAAGTCCTTGTGACATCGACTTACAGGGCTTTGACTCCTGGGTCTAAAAAGGGGACTAAATCCTGGTAAAGCATAAACATTGAAGATGAAGCTTCAATTGCCTCATCTTTAGGCACCTAGAAAGATGCCAATCAAAATAAACTGCATTCCTGAGACACAGGGCCAGAAATTAAAGCTATTCAACTGCTCAAGGCCCAGGGACTATCGTGGAACAAGTGGGCATGTGGGATTGTAAGGGCCAATTTTGAGAGAAAATTATGTTCAGTTTCTCTATAAGTTAACCATTAATGTCAAAGGCACACTGATGCAAGACCAGTGTATGCCCTGTGTCAGATTAACAAGGTTTTCTTGAAGCATTATCCAACTCCTTAATAAAAGTTCTAAAGGTTATAAAAGGCTAATGGAAGTTATATCTTATAGTCAAGATTAAAATCTTATAGATTGTTTAGAAAATTTCAGAAACCTAATTTAATTGGTTTCATGCTGTTTTTATTAGGGCTAATTATGTGGAAAATTCGCTCTCCTCTCTTAAATAATGAAGGTTTCCACCTTTTTTTTGAAATCCTTGAGTTATCCCTTTGATTAAATGAATAACTTATTTTACAATGATCTGTGATCCTATTTTGTGATATTAAGTGTTTCAAACCTTTGATATTTGACAAACTATCCAAAAGCAAATTACAAACTATGTCTTTTTCTGACCTAATTAATACTTTAAGATATTAGATTCCCTAACGTCCAAAATGACATAATTTGGCTTATTTGCTATCAATATTATATATGAAGCATTGTTAAATATGAAATGGTGTTTGCTTTTCTTTGGGCTGTATTTATATAAATGTGTTATTGGTATATGTTCCAAAATTATGGGAAACTCCTATAATTCTGATATTACTCAGTGTACATTATCAGTAATAATAATTGCTATGTTAAATTATTGTGTGCCACAGAGGTAACAAATTTCCTTCTCAATTATGTCTTTTGACTATGGCTGCCCTAAAATATTTGTCATCCATGGACATTTTTGTCTTGTTTTGGTCCTCTTTAGAAGATGATTTTATAATCAGCTATAAAACCCTGACAGGTACTCTTGAAGGCAGGTTTCTGATAACTTTGGAGACTGATATCGGAATAGAGAAAAAACTTTCAGGACTTATGGAAAGCTGAAATGTTCATAAATATCAAGCAGAACAGGAATTAACTGCATGGACTGAACTAATAGAAGACTGAAATAATCTTTTTTACTTTTTTCTTAAAATGTTACTGGTTCTATGTTTTATTTTTCAGAGTAAAAGAAACGTTTCTTTTGAGCTATTGACAGCTTTTAACAATTAAGTATACTCTACTCCTATGAACAAAATTTGGAGCATATTTGTTTGTCTCTACCTTATTTCTCCAGAATTTAGAAACCATTTATGAGTATTCTTAATATATGGCAATATAGTTATTTGCATGAGTGCAAGAAGAATCTATTTTCATTTGTAACAGGACACAATTAGAGAAACTGGTTATTTTACCAAAGCTTTGACTGGAATGGTGTGCTTTACTTTCAGGAATCAAACTTTACTTATACAGCCAATAAAACCCCCTTGGGAAAACTGGCCTCATATCTTGTCTACGCCATCCCTGTAGAGAATTCCTGACCTATGGTAAGTAAAGAATGTCACTTTCTGACAGACCCAAGAGCCCCAAGTTGTCTTGGGACCTCAAGAGGAGAAGAATTCACCCAACTCATAGATATTTGATGGTACACATCCATGGCTGGGCTTGGCTTTAAAAAAATCTTATCTGAGATTCCTTCTATAGAACAATCTCCCTTAAAGCCATTTACTTATTTATTTATTTATTTATTGAGATGGAGTTTTACCCTTGTCACCCAGGCTGGAATGCAATGAAACAATATTGGCTCTCTGCAACTTCCGCCTCCTGGGTTCAAGCAATTCTTCTGCCTCAGTCTCCCAAGTAAGTGGCACTACAGGTGCCCATCACCACATCCAGCTAATTTTTGTTCTTTTAGTACTTTAGTTTCACCATGTTGGCCAGGCTGGTCTTGAACTCCTGATCTCAGGTGATCTTCCTACCTCAGCCTCCCAAAGTGCTGGGATTACAAGCATGAGCCACTGTGCCCCTCCCATCAAAGTTAATTTAAAATGCCTGTATGAAAAATAATTATTCTTGCTGCACTTTATACAAATAATCTGGCCAGGCATAATGAAGCAAATGGGTCCTACCATGATTTGTCTTTAGTAAACCTGGGAAACTGCAGAGAGAAAAATTATGTTTCAAAAACTATAGTATACCTGTTGTTAGATTCTAGTCTTGCCTAATGTTTTTCAGTTTTTACCGTTTTCTACAATTTGGACTAAATTCTAATTTTTCCTGACTTCAAGTCTCCAAAATAATGTTTTCAATTTTTCTTCTTTCTTTTTCTTTTCCCCTGCATTTTTGCTAATGAGTAGTCACAAGGATGTAGCTATGCTTTCTTAAAGCCCCATGAACTGAACCTACTAGACAACTTAATCTTCAGAAGAAAGTAATAGCAATCTATTTACCTACATAAGCCACTGTCCTACCTGCCTACTAATGTATGGACTTCCAAGGAATGTGGCCTATATGGATTTTCCAGGATTGTTTATTTGTTTGATGTTATTTTTCTCTCTTCTTCTCCCTATTTTCTCTTCATAGGACATGCAACTTCTCAACCTTCTAAAAATGGGGTTTCCTAATAGCTTGGGACCAGCCATCTAGCAATAAACCATTGTAACCATGAGAGATCAGACAAAACCTGACACCAGAGACTCATTTTCTTTTAAAATGCTTTCTCCAAAATATTTTTAAAAGGAAAGGAGGGGGGAAATGTAATAGGAAAAGAAATCTTGGGGCGCCAAAAGTCACTAAGCTAAAGGGAAAAGTCAAGCTGGGAACTGCTTAGGACAATTCTGCCTCTCTCCTCACTGAGGTAAAACACATTTCTGATTGCCTCCTTTGAAAAGGCTAATCAGAAACTCAGAAGAATGCAACTGTTTGTCTGTTACCTACCTGTTACTTGGAAGCCCCCTTTCTGCTAGAGTTGTCCCGCCTTTCCAGACGAAACCAGTGTAAATCTTACATATATTGACTGATGTCTCATATCTCCCTAAAATGTGTAAAATCAAAATGTGACCCAACCACATTGGGCACATGTCATCAGAATCTCCTGAGGCTGTGTCACGGGCATGCATCCTCAACCATGGCAAAATAAGCTTTCTAAATTAACTGAGACCTGTCTCAGATATTCAGCTTCACATATTCATCTCATCTTGGCCATCTCAGCAAAGAAGCAAGAGGTAGAAAATCCATTTTTATTAATGACAACATTAAAGCACAGAATATACTGTAGGAGACTGTCTCCAATACTTTCCAGAAGTGTTTGCCACACCAAAATCAGTGGCATTTACTTTTGTGAGCAGATAATTAATCTGTGCTACCAACTTCACAACTGAGTGGAAATCAAGTAAGGTAGCTGAAAAAAAAATACTGAATCATTTTAATTACGAGTCCATGATTACCAATGTGCTACGCACTGTAAAATGATTTTATCAGCAAATCTTTGCAACTCTATGATGCAACATTGTTTTTACACATGAGGAAACTGGATTCAGCAAGGTGAGGTGACTTAGGTCACACAGCTTGGAGCAAGCGGAACAAGATTTTAAGCCCTGATACGTTTGCCTGAAGGCTTAGCTGTTTCCACTGTGAATACTGACCTTTAAATTAGGACGTGAACTCAACTGAAAATCTTCTAACCCAGAGATATGAACCCACTAATAATCATCCCAAAAGCCATTCCTTATTTGCTGTTTTCTAGGGTATGGAGACCTTGGCATTTCAGGATCCAGTCTCTGTTTGAGAGGCAATATAGCTTTAGAGTTAGGCATATCTGCTAGATATAAGATGCAAAAGCCATGTAGCTTCTTTATGTCTCAATTTCCTTCTCGCTACATTATTAAATTTGTATACTAATATTTACTAGGTTGCAGAAGGGATCAAATGGGAAAATTTTTCTAAGGTACTTATCATAGTACTTGTCATGAAGTAACTTATTGTCTCTTACATAGTGCATGGTTTTTGAGGCATATATTGCTAAATTACTCATTTTTGGCCAGCACCTGGGTCCAGGTTATTTAGGGCTTTGCCATTTGGAGTGTGAACAGAGGAATAGCAGCACTGGCCTCATCTAGGAGCTGGTTAGATCTACAGAATGTCAATCATAGTTTCTGGCCTAGGCCTATTGACCAGAGACCTGTAATGTAACAAGATCCTCCAAATATTTTTTTATGTACATGAGATTTTGAGAAGCGCTTAAACATAGAGTATTTTCTCATTCTTATTGGCCTCTATAATAGGTAAGTCAGCTTACTTCTTCCATTTCTATCCATCGTACTATCCCTCTATGTCTCAATACAGATACGCATACATACAGGCACATACATATATCTATCTATGTGTTTGCATGTGAATTTATATGTATACTCATTATATGTATGCTTTGTGTCAGGCAGTATGATAAAAAGTTAGGTTTGTTAGTGAACAAGATAGTCTTTGCTCTCCTAGAATTTGAAATTACTGGAGGACAAGCACCATAATCAAAAGGGGAATCTCTCTGAAGGCCTAAGGTTGAACCAGAAATAAGTTGCAGGGGGATTCACAAGAAAGAAGGTAGACATCCCACCTGAAATTCATGAATTGGTCTTTCTACATAGCCAGTGGTAAAGTCTGATGAGAAGTCTCAGCTTCATAACATTAAAAATTTATTTCCATGGGCTTGGGGAATCCTGTGAGTCCATGGGTTGTCAGTTGAATCTGCTCATACAATAATTCTTGAGGCGTCTTGGTCTAGATTAAATTCACTTTGGTGTGAGCTCAAGGGAGCCTCTAATTGTTCCACTAGAGGATTCAGTTTATAGCCTCGCCTCCTAAACTATACTAGGTGAATGGAATTAAGAACTCTTACTCAAAGTGAAGCTTGTTAATTAGAGCTTATTTATTACTATACTTTGTAATCGTACAGATTATAATTATCATTATGTCAGATATTACAACTATATGGTAATATCAATAATTATTGTTCTTTAGGTACTAGTAGATTATTATTCAATAGATAGTAAATAATATCACAGAATTATATGTAATTATAATTTATAATATATTATTCATGCATCATAATCAGATTTGTGAATGGTTTTGATTTTCTATTTCAAAATATAATAAAGTTTAAAGCTTGAGCTTTCCTCACAGATGTGATTCCTGGGTTGATTGTTTCTCTATTTTGTAGCCCGATCTCTCATCTAATAAGTTATTTACCAAGAGGTCAGTACATAAATGAGTTCCATAAAGTCCTCCAAACTGAATAGCACGTTGTCTCATATTGCATTGATACATAGAAGTTTTGACATTTTTAAAACCTCTGATAGCAGAGGAATAAGGAAGCCAGTTTGCTAACCTAAGAAAAGTAAACTTTTTTGGTGGGCTGAGGAAGTTAAGGAAACTGGCTCTACCTGGGTATATTGACTGATTTACATGCTTGCATTTACTTTTAAATTGTGTGGATATTGAAGTCTTCTCTCTCTTTATAGCTATGTTTTATTCACAGCAAAGCATAAGGACCATTTTGAGGGGTGTATTGATTGGTGAGCATTTGCTTTGAGTATTCAGGAATCCTATCTGGACACCATGCCACCACGTGGGAGAAGTCCTTTCATAAGCTTACAAGATAGGTACTGTCATTATTACTATATTTTTAAGGGTGGAAACTAAAGCTCAGTAGTATTTATCACTTGAGCTTGGGAAGAAATGTTTTACCCAAAAGAGGCTGCATAGGTCAAACACTTAAATACATCCAATGTATATTCACCTAGATTAATTTATTGCTCTTTACCCAGTCTGAAGGTGGTAATAGGATACCCCAATTTTCTTTGGGAATATTTTATCTTACCATATTTTTTTTCAGCTACACATATTCTTAGCTATCTTTTGTCTGAATTAGTATGAAATTAAATATTTTTTTCATTTTTTTAATAGCAGCTTTATTGTGGTATTACTTCTATACCACACAATTCACTCATTTAAAGTATGAACTTCAAGATTTTTAGAAGTATTCCACTTATTTTATTTTATTAATTAATTTTTAAAGTGTATAATTGACACATAATAATTGCAAATATTCATGGGGTACAATGTGATGTTTTAATATATTATATAATGACCAAATCAGGGTAATGACCTAATCTATCACTTTAGATGCTGATCAGTTCCATGTGGTGATAATATTTAGAATCTTCTCTTCTAGCTACCTTGAAGTATATGCTACATTGGTGTTTGCTATAGTCACTCTATTGTGTGATAGAACACCAGGACTGATTCTTCTGGTCTCACTGTAGCTGGCATTATCAATTTTTAAGGAATCCTATTCTAATTTAATTAGTCTCTGGACATGGAATATGGTTTATTTTCCTTTTTATTTTGATATAATTTATTTTGTTTTTTTATCACCTTACTGAAAGATTACCCACTTGCTAGCTATGTAAACCTTGGTGGGTTACTTACCAGCTCTGGGTCTCAATTTTCTCATCTAAAAATGGGGTAAATAGCAATCATACATACGTCATAGGGTTGTTATAATAAATAATCAGTTAATTTTTAAAAAGTTACTATAACAGTGCTTGGCACATAATGAGAGCAATGTGTTTGCCAAGAAAAAATTAAAAAGAGATAATATGTCCAGAAAATTAGCTTACGTTTTTTCTAGATAATTTCTAACTAACTTTCTTTAATTGTGAGAAATTGAAATAGCGAGGCACAGTGGCTCATACCTGTAATCCCAGCACTTTGGGAGGCCGAGGTGGGCAGATAGCTTTAGACCAGAAGTTTGAGACTAGCCTGGACAACATGGTGAACCTACCCCCCATCACCACATCTCTACCAAATAATACAAAAATTAGTGAGGTGTGATGATGCAAACCTGTAGTACCAGCTACTTAGGAGGCTAAGGTGAGAGAATTACTCAAGCCGCAGAGGTTGAGGCTGCAGTGAGCTGAGATTGCACCACTGCTCTCCAGCCTGGGCAACAGAGTGAGATCCTGTCTTTAAAAAAAGAGAGAGAGAGAGAGAGAAATTGAAAAATTGAAACACAAAATGATGGACCCTCAGTAGAAAAATCAACATTTTTTTTTTAGAACTATTTTCAAGGGGTTATTGGGAGGGTGCCATAGGGCTCATAGCCCTTCCCTTCTAGGCTATAATTCTCCTACACAGGTGTTAGTTATTGAAGGGCTGGCAGCGTAACGGAGAATCTTCCAGAAAGTTGGTGACTGATAAATGTTGTCTGAATTAATGAGCATTTAACTCATTCTTTCTCAGTAATTATCCTGGAATTCTCAGCTTGGTCAAACACCCCCTTTTCCAGATGTCCCTAGTTAGTCCAGATCCTTGTGACCACAGCAGTCAACCACAAAGTCACTGTGGTGGGAGAATTCTGACATAGCTAGGAGTGCCTGGAAGAGGCAGAGGTTGATAGATGGTAACTTCCAGAAACCACACCACCAACTTCTGCATCTTCCAGTTAAGTAATTTGAAATAAACTTTTGAAAATGAGATGACTTCAGTATCCTGTTTGTATTAACATGAAGAAGCACATCAAAGTATTTCATGCGAAATAATAATGATAGGATAATCCTTGGAATTTTAAACCATTTTGTCCAATGAGTGGGTTTTTTAAAAAATATTTCTCTAGAGAAGTTCAATATTTAAAAAACATTGTTCAGCACATGTTTATTGAACAATCAGCAAAATAAAATAATCTGTTGTCCACATTCAAAGCATTTTTTGAAAGTTGTAGATAAGTATTTTTAAAATATTGCCATTGTTTTAAAAATATTTGCTGATGTCCTGGGTTCTTAGGGAGATAATGCACTTAGCATATGAGTGTTCATGAATTTTAGTGTCATTATTGTTATTGCTATTATTACTGGTATTCTCATCTTTAGTAGTTTCCATTCCTCACCCTTCTACTTCTTACCATCATCCTTTTAGGTCTAATTGCAATCTTCCATGGCTTGCTCCAAGCCTGGCTTTTGGACTCATGCTGCTCCCTACACCCCCAAGTCCAGCAAGGATTTTTGGTTGGAATTTTTGCCAGAAACCAAGCTTTAAATCTTGTTCATCACGTCCTCTAACTGGTAGCTAAATGGGATCAGCAAAACTAACCCAACAGCCACTTTGCACACACTTTAACCTCCAATGAAGTTATGGCAGTTGTGTCTCCAGCATTATGTCTAAGAGAGTCATGGGGGGAAGATGAAGAGAATATGGGAAGAACAAAGTAGGTAGCAAGTTGATAAAGTTATGAATGAAAGCAGAGTAAAGGTGGGCAAATGAATATGAGAAGGGGTCTGTTCCCTACTGAGACTTAGGTCACTGGTGGAGAAAAATATGTGGAAAGGTACAAAGGCCTAGTGAAGTAAACACGGGCACAATCTCTTTTCTTCTAAGAGTCTTTCAGTTTTCCTTTCATTAAATGTTTTTCTTTTTGAAAATGACATCTCAGAAAATTGTCTTTTTTTTTTCCCACGACATCCTTGTTAGATCTCTAGGATATGATGCTAATATAAGGAAACCTATCGTGAGATGTATTATGAGACCAAAGAAAACCAGTGGGTGACGTATTTCCTTTTGACTATTAGCTGTTGTGGCTGCACTCTGTGATGAAAATTATGGATAACATAGGATAAAGGCAATATTTAAAATATTGTCTTTTTTTTTTTTGAGATGAAGTCTTCCTCTTGTTGCCCAGACTGGAGTGCAGTGGTGTGTTCTAGGCTCACTGCCACCTCTGCCTCCCAGGTTCAAGCAATTCTCCTGCCTCAGCCTCCCAAGTAGCTGGGATTACAGGTGCCCACCATCATGCCTGGATAATTTTTGCATTTTTAATAGAGACAGGGTTTCACCATGTTGGCCATGCTGGTCCTGAACTCCTGACCTCAGGTGATCCACCTGCCTTGGCCTCCCAAAGGGCTGGGATTACAGGCATGAGTCACCGCACCTAGCCTGTTTTTAAAAATGTTGTTGATGTCCTGGGTTATTATGGAGATATGCACTTAGCATATGAGCGTTCATGGGGTAAAGTATATTTGTTCTCAGTGCCTGTATTCGCTTGCTAGGGCTGCCTTAACAAGATACTACAGACTGGATGGATTAAACAATGATAATTTATTGTGTTGGAGGTCCAGAGCCTGGATGTCTAAGACGAAGGTGTCAGCAAGGTTGTTACCTTCTGAAGATTATGGAGAATCTTCCGTGCCTCTCTCCTAGCTTCTGGTGGTTTGCCCACAATCTTTGGCTTGTAGAAGCATCACCCCGTGTCTGCCTTCATCTTCATATGGCATTCTGCCTGCCTGTGTGCCTGTGTCAAAATTTCCACTTTTTGTAATAACACTGGGCATATTGGATGAGGGACCTACTCTCCTCCATTGTGATTTCATCTTAAGTAATTAAATCTGCAATCACACTATTTCCAAATAAGGTCACGTTCTGAGGTACTGGGAGTTAGGACTTCAACATATGAATTTTAAGGGGACACAATTCAATCAATAACATTGCCAGTTCAGGAAAATTTAACTTAATTTACTGTTCTTGGAAACCTATCATTTAGGTTGAGGGTTCTTTCTTGGATAGGACTTCTTAATGAATAAAACCCATTAACTTAAAAACTTTTAATTAATAAAGTACCATTTCCAAGCTACCTACATAGAAACTTTCGCATGTATCTCACATGGAAAAACCTACCTATATTAAGTGAAAGTCGTCATCCAAGTAAATTTGTAATGAGTGAAGAGGGCACAGGTGAACACAGGAGTCCAAGTTGTTCCTCCCATACGTCAGTCCTAAAATCAAAAAGTCGTCTTTCAGTGTCAATGTCAGGTCCAAGTTGCCTGAAGAAATCCTAATGGTTTGTTTTTGTTTTTGTTTTTCCAAGATAATTACTGTCTGGGCTAATGGTCTGTTTTTGATAGACTGTTTCTATCTTGACTGGATAAATTCTTTCCAAGTCTGTCTTCCCCGCTTCTCCTATTGGTTAAAGGAAATCCTTTGTGAAGCTTGTCTGCAATCTCTAGATATGGGGTCTTAGAGGTAACAGAGAATCTACTCATTCTTTTCTGTACACTTCATCTTTAAGGAGCAGGGGAGGCTGGGGAGAGGTAATTCCATTTCTGTTTTATCTCTAGAATACATACACACACCCTATGAAAACATTTAGTCCTAACCAAGTATACTCCACACCTATCACCCTCTCCCTACCCCCGACACATGCACACACACACAAGCTCTCTCTTCCTGTGTTGTGGGAAACTTTTAGGGGCAGTTGCATATGAAATGTTCATTAAAACTGCCTGAGCAGTTTGAGGCTATTGTATTATACTTGAAAATGAAGAGTATCTTATTTTTAACATTGAACTGTTAACGCATGCAGGGAATTGGGAAGAAATGTGAGTCTGACTAATAGATGATTAGAGAAAAAGCCATAGGGTTAACTGGAGTACAAACAGCAAGAGAATCATGAAAGTAATTTTATTTGGAGTTTTTGAATAGCTAAACTTTCAAATTTGTTTTTTAGATTCTGGTAGGAAAATATACAAGCTGTTTCTCCTCCCCTAGAAAAAGCTGATATCAGAAATAAGTCAAAATTATAGGCATATTTTTTCCATTTACTAAAATTTTT